CAATTTCATTTTCAGTGCAAAAACTATTCTGCTTCTTGCTTGAGTTCTGACCTTTACTAAAAGTAGGGAGTTAGATCTCCAGGAAAAAAATCTCACAAACTGTGCTGAGAAGAACACTTGAAAGTGTTTTATTTTTCATATGAAAATAAATATATTCTATTTTAAATATTTGAATATTAGATAAATATTATAAGACAGTGATTGATGTCAAATAGCTTACATTTTTCTGAGCACTTAATCTTCCATGGCAGTTTGGCAGTGTTTTCCAGAAGAGAAGGTATAGTGTGTTTTGGAGAGCATACTATTGTTGGTGGAATATTTCTACTTTTAATAATTTGCTTCTCTTCATATCTTGTGAATTGGTACAGAAACAGAACTTCTGGTTTTTGTGCTGATATATAATGTTGAAATGTAGAATGGACGATATTCAGTTTATGCATTAGGCAGCTTTGGACGTGTGCACAGGAGATGGAGCTAAAAAGAAATTTTAAACAAAGTGTGGGGAAGTTAAGGTTTTATTTAATACATAGTTTCTTGTTCATGATTTTTAACTGATTCAATCATATTAAAAGTGCATTTATTTTGGACTTTTTTCAACGTACTGTGAACCTCAAAGCTTGGCAGACTTCGCCTCTTCAGTGTTAATGAGATTTTTCAGACAGAAAAAAGGAGGGTAGAATTTGAAAATACTGTACAGATTGGTTATTTTTGCAATGTTATCAACTCTTGGTTGTCTTTGATCTACTCAGATACCTGTGACTTCAGATTTTTGAGCTGAAGACACGACTGTGAGGTGTAGGCGTATTTTATATCCGTTGTCCCAGTTAGTTCTAGATTTGCATTGTATCTTGTGAAGAGAGCTTTATTCACACTGCAGCTAGCATCTTAAATAGAGGCTGCTTTTTGAGCTGACCTGACTTTGCATATGTGTATGACTAGTTCTTCAGAGCAATAAATTCTGTTGGACTTTAAATCAAAAAATTATGACCTGGTAATGTATGCTCCCAGCCCAGAAGGCCAACCGTATCCTGAGCTGCATCAAAAGCAGCATGACCAGCAGGTCGAGGGAGGAGATTCTGCCCCTCTAATCTGCTCTCATGAGACCCCACCTGGAGTACTGCATCCAGCGCTGGGAGCCCCAGTACAAGACAGGGCCTTGCTGGAGTCGGTCCAGAGGAGGGCCACAAAGATGATCAGAGGGCTGGAGCACAGGCTGAGAGAGTTCGGATTGTTCAGCCTGGAGAAGAGAAGGCTCTGGGGAGACCTTATAGCAGCCTTCCAGTACCTGAAGGGGCCTACAGGAAAGCTGGAGAGGGACTGTTTACAGGGGCGTGGAGTGATAGGACTAGAGGTAATGGCTTTAAGCTGAAGGAGGGGAGATTTAGATTAGATATAAGGAAAAAAATTCTTCACTGTGAGGGTGGTGAGACACTGGAACAGGTTGCCCAGAGAGGTTGTGGATGCCCCCTCCCTGGAAGTGTTCAAGGCCAGGTTGGATGGGGCTTTGGGCAACCTGGTCTAGTGGAGGGTGTCCCTGCCCATGTGCGGGGGGTTGGAACTAAGTGATTTTTGAGGTCCCTTCCAACCCAACCCATTCTGTGATTCTATGATTAAAATCTTTGAGTAAGATGCAGATTTCATGTATTGCTGTCCAATAGCAAGGAGTATGTTGGTTTTATGTTCATAAGCTAGTAAGTAGGAGATTGTGGTTTAAAATGGAATTGTAATTTTTCCTTGTGATTATCGTCTTATTTAGTAGATCTCTCCTTGAACCATCTCCTAGATGGTTTGAACTGATTGGCAGTGGAATTTTTAACTAGCAATTTATTTGAGAGGTGAGTTTTCTCATCTCTATGTAGTGAGTGTCTCAGGGATTTATGTGCTGTGTTGTCATGGAGGTTCTCAAAGAGGCAAGTTGTGAGGTAATTGAAGAGTTGGGCAATTATTTCCTAAACCAGTAAAAGTGATTTTTTGCTCTCGTATTTGCAGTTCTGACAGTAAGTGCAGGTTGCAGCTGGTTGCAAAAAAAGCATGTTCCTAAAAACCTCTTATTGAAGTATTATGTCATAAAATGCTTTGAAAGAATACTTTTGTTCAAGTTGGTTTGGAGAAAGAATATAATCACCATGAGCAGACCTATAATTAGATGGCAGATTAGCCTGTAGTTGTTGAGGTCAGCGACAAATTTATTACCTTTAAATAGTAAATAATATGCCCAGCATGTACAAGATGGCAAGTACAGTTCCTACCCTGTGGAGTTTCCTCCCTTGTGCAATTAAAAAAAAAAAAAAAAGGAGGGGTGTAAGGAAGAGAGGGGTGGCCAGAAAGTAGACCTGCCCTATATTACTAATACTGTTCTCAATTGCTTCCTTTTGATCATTTTTGGTCATTTCTGCTACAAAGGGCAACAGACTTGAGGAAGAATACAAAACACAATAAATCATTGG